GGGCGTGAGCTAGCAGACACAATCGAGGCCGCATAGAAATCTTTCTTTGCGGCCTTGACTGCCATCCCGTAGGCTTTCATAAGCGTCCTATAGGATGTTCTGGACACCTCGTCGCGAGCGTGACGCCACCGTCTCTCTAGCCGTCTCAGTTCTCGCTTCAGCGAGCGCAACTCCTGCGTATACCAGGGAGCTCGCTTATCACGAGCGCGGAGAGGGCGCCTGGGAGCGATCTCGTCGATAGCTGAGGAGAGCCGGTCATTCCAGTCCTCCACCAGCTCTTCCAACGAGTCGCCAGGGGGCCTCGGGTCCCGCAGAGCCATCTGGAGCCGCACAGGGTCCATTTGGCTCCGCGGGCTGAAGATGAGGAGGAGATAAAAGGTAGGCAGGTTGACTGGTGAGTGGGCAGGAGAGAAGGAAACAGGGGAATCTGGATACGGAAGCTGCCAGGAGAAGAGAAAGAGAAAATAGTATTGGGAGGGGGAATACAAAGGAAACTAAGTCCTTACAGGTTGGCTGGCACATGACTCAGCCCATTCCAGTAGCTGACAGTGCATGACTGGACCATAGTTTTCGCAGGAAAAAAACTACCAGGGGGAGGGAAGGTGGGAAAGCTGAAGACAGGGAGGCTGATAAAGGTAGGATGACTGGTAAGTGGGAAGGAGAGAAGAAAGCAAGAAAAGGGGCTATAGGGGTTTCAGGGAAGAGAAAGAGGAACTAGGGAGGGAGAAGAAATGAGATTCCCCAAAATCCTTGCAGGCCTCCACTCTATTTCCTAAACAACAGTCTGCTGCAAAACCATACCTCAATGTGGGGTACTTATGTCCCAAAGGGCCTAGGTTTCAGCATAAAAATTATACTTTTTATTTACATAACACTGAAAAGATCTAAAAATAAGGAAAATAGACTGTCTTGATAACTGTGCTATCTGAAGCAAAGTTACACCCTAAGGGTGTGTATTCGGCATAAGGCGAACTGAATAAATACCAAAAAAACACTGTATCTTATCTGGCTTATATTTGGGTGCATTCACCTATACAGAACCCAGCTGCTGGCCATTTAAACCTAACAGCTGACAAGTGGGTCTGCTTGTCAGCTGTTAGGTTTAAATGGCCAGCAGTCATTTCAGCACTCCATTTCACTTCCCATCCACTCTGAAGAGGGGGGGGAGAAAGGGAGCGCTGAAATGCCTTCCAGCCATTTAAACTGAACAGCTGACCGGTGGACCTATGCACTATCAGGCTGAAATGGCTGGGAGCCATTAAACCCCTCAGTTTTGTCCCCCCCCCGCTTTGGAGCAGGGGAGCGAAATGGAAGAGTTTAATAGCTCCCAAGGCATTTAAACATGCCTCCCTGATCTTTCTTCCTTTCCTCAGCCAACCCGCCACAGTGGGCTGCCTGGGGAAAGGAAGGGGGCCATATAAGCATGCCTCCCTGATCTGTCTTCTCTTCCCCAGTCACCCTGCTGCAGTAGGCCGGCTGGGGATGGTAAGGGGCGTATTTAAATATGCCTTCCCAATCTGTCTTTAAACATGCCTTTTCTCAGGCTTCCTCCCAAAACCAATCAGCTGACAGGTGGGCCGCCACACTAATCAGTTTGAATGGGAGGAAGCCATTTCAGACCTCCAAGCCAAATATTTTCAGCAATACCAATTATTTCCTGAATCCCAATACAATACTGATATTGGGATTCAGGAATATCGGTATATACCAATATTTTTTGGGCTTGGTATACCCGATGAATTGATCTCTGTCACCTGGAAATCAGTTGTAATAGCGAGAGATCTCCAGCCAAAGGCTTTTGACTTTGTGGACCCAGCTAGAACACTGAATAGTGTCAAGGGAAATAGTAGAGCTCCTCAGCTTGGTATAACACTTGAGTGGTGGAGTGCAACTGCAAACAGAGGATAAGTGCCTGTGCACGTCCTGCACTAGTCCCCTCAACCATATCATTACAGTCTGACGAAGGGTCGAAACGGAGATTTACCTGGGACATCTGTTGCCGTTGTAATACTATGTGGTTAACCTCATGTATTATGGTTTAGCTTCCAATGTTTAAATTCAATTTGTATTTGTACTGCATCTTTAAAGAATAGCTAATAAGAGGTTCTTTGTCATTTCAAACAGAATTTTGTGTATATTCCTTAAAAATCACAGTGTTTTTCAGATACAGTATATCACATCCACTGTATAGCCATTTTTTGTTATACTACCTGGTCTAGCATCTGCCTTGCATGAGGAAGGTCCCAGGTTCCATTCCCAGCATCTCCAGTTAAAGGTTCATGTACAGAATGATGTGAAAGACCTCTTCCTGAGACCCTGAAGAACTGCTGTCACCAGTCAGAGTCATATAATAATGACCTTGACAAACCAATGGTCTGACTCAGTAAAAGGCAGCTTTTGTCTATGTGTATCAACTGTCAAGTAAACAAGACACTGATGCTTTTAAGCAATAATGCCACTATCCTCATTGTAATAAACAGGGCTTTTAAAAAAAGAAAGAAAAAAGAGGTGCCACAACTCTCAATGGGGAAATGAAGTTTTCAATCTGTATACTGAAAACTCATGAACTTTTAAACATTTTAAAAATTATTTTGTCAAAGAGGTTCTGAAACTCTGTTCCAGCATATTCCCCCAGAAAAAAAGCCCTGGTAAGAAACAAAGGTAAGTTAGTCTGTAACAACTTCTGCTTCTCCTCAGGAGTTTGGAAGAAAACATGAGATAAGCCCTTCCTGCAAGCTCTCTCTACTTGTATTTCTCTCAAAATCCATTGCCGTAAGTATCTCATGATCAACTAGGCACATATCTGATTCCATCTAACACCCTTTCATTATTTCAACCTTCTTATACACAGTAACAGATACCTACTTGTAAAACGGCTTAGCAAGGTGGTCTGCATGGAAATCCATTGCTTCTTTCCTACAAAATATTATTTTTAAACTCCTGGTTACTGTTTTTGTGAAAAATATTTTATCATCAGCAACAATAGCTTGCACCCCAAAAGCCACAAATGGAATTCTTCTCACACACCAGGGCTTCCCTGCTACCCCTTTATGTTGCAACCCTTTGCACACATACCTTAAAGTCTCTCCTGAGGACCCTCCAGAATGCAATGCAGAGGCTGCAGTGGGGTGGGGTGGGGTGGGGGAAGGAATCCATAGTAATCAGAGGTTTCTCTTGCTTGAGAAATGTACCTTTGCTTGTGCAAGGGATCCAAGCCATTGGCTATAAATTAAGTAAACAAAGTGCCGGACTAGATGAGACCCTGGCAGAGTTGTGAATGACTCTTATAAACATTTTAGTAAGTAACAGCCTCTGGAGGCCTGATTCAGATGAGGAGCATGCTATAAACGGGGAGGTATAAGCCTTCCCCTCCTCTGCATTTTCTCAGCCTGACATGATCGACCAGAACTGCTGCTTGACCCACTGGGCAACCTAAAATATTTCATCCAACAGAGCTGTATGACTGCTGAAAAATTGGGGTGGGGGAGGGAGAGAAAAAGCCATTCTATAATTTATTTGAACTTGCCTTCAGTTGCATCAGTCCATAAATTCTCTGGGTTTCATCTTAGAAACAGCTAATTACGTTCTCCACTCTCTAATTTGTGCTCTCTGAATGCATAACCACTTCATTCTAATGAGTTTACCCTATCTGCTGGGACGATGGAGATTACTTCCAGCTTTTCATGCCCACATGCCCTCCTTTAATAGTTAAGCATTTGTCAACTGACTTATGGTTTAATTTACACACTCCAGAATAAAACTGTGCTGTGAATCTGCTAAAAGCTACATAAATAGATTATGGAGGGACAATTCCAAGATCCTTATAGTTTGAGCAAAGAAGGAATAAAGTCTTTTTAATAGTATAAACTTCCTTTCCTTTACAAATAGCAACTTTCAAGAAAAATTACAATGATTCCAAATTGTGTGCCTGTTTGCATTCTGTCACACACACACAAACTTAGCTACTTCATATGATGACTTATTTAGGATGACACATCATCAAGCTTTAAGAGCCTCTGTGCCATCTTATTTAGAGGGTTTTAATTTGCTTTGTTTATCATTATGGGAAGCTGTTGTGTGTTCCCCTTTATTGAATCTGCTTCTGATTTTTGGCTGATGCCAACTTATCTCATCTATTATTAGCAGCAAGTCATTGTTCCTTTGAATCAGAGCCCAGTTATGGCCACAGTGCCTTGATTCTTATTCACTGTTCATTTATTTCTTTTTCTTAAAATTCATTCAGTGATGGCCTGTGAGGTGTAGCAGAGAGTGACTAGGACTGGTTTCAAATCCCCACTCTGCCATGCACTTCACTGAGTGATCAGGGGCAATTATTTTCTCTCAGCCTAACCCACCTTAAAGAGTTGTCATGAGAATAAAATGGAGAAAGGGAAAAAATGTATGTCACCCTGTGGGCCACTGCACACATTATGAAACTCTCATGTCTCCCCCATATGTCAGGGCAACAGACAAGGTCTGGAAGTTCCTTGTTTGGAACTTAATTCCCAGGCACACTTGGATTCAATTCAGATCACTGCAGCACATGATGAGAAAGGGCTTGAGCCTTGCCTCCTGAATAATTTTCAAGCTCTCTCTCCCTGCAGCCCTGAAGCAAATGGGGTCCACGTGGGCCGAGGAATTCCAAGCATGGAACTCCCAGACCGATTTCGCACAAGGAGCTGCGCCTCCATCGCACCTCCCTTTGCCCCATTTCCATCAGTCAATTTCCCACTCAAAGCCGCATGGCTGCATTTTGACCCGTGGCTTCACCCAATTTTCCCCACGGTTTTGTGATCTTCAAAAAACAGGATCACGAAACCACGGGGAAAATCAGGCAAAGCCGTGGGTCAAAATGTGGCCACGAGGCTTCGAGTGAGTGGGAAATTGACTAATGAGTGGGAAATTGACTAATGGAAACAGGGCAAAGGGAGGTGTGATGGCAGCGCAGCTCCTTGTGCAAAATTGGTCCTAGAGAATAACTCATTAACAGGATTACTGACAGCCATATGGGAAACATAATGGCATTGTTATGTGTGAACTGGCCCCCAGCACCTTAGAGGAAGGGAGGGATTAAAATAGATGAATAAGGCTGCTCTTCTTCATGAATGATTTTGAGCATTTCAGACTTTGTTATATAATTAATCTTGCTAATTTTTCTTCCACTAAACAGTTAGATTTTTTGAAATGCTTTATCCACATATTTTTCCCAGTTTGTTGTTCCATCCCTTTTTCTTTCTCTCCAGTTCTTATTCTTCAGGTCTATGCTTCATCTTTCATAAATACATCAGCTATCCAATGTTTTTCTCCTGGTTCCAGGCCCCTTTGATAATAATCTTTACCTTGAGGACCTGTTCCTGTTCCTCACTTTCCTTTGTTTTCCTTGATTTTCTTTGTATACATTTTTTGGCTTGTTTGTCACAAAAAACTACCTCTATCATCCCTTTTTTGCTGACCAGATTGTTCCATGTCTTTCACTTTTGCTTCTTTACTTGTTTAATCTTACTTTAGCTACTAGAGTTTTTTCATCTAACTTTAAATCTGCTTTCATTTCTTCAAACAAAAAAGCACTTTTCTTGATTCTTCAGTTTTGGTGAATCAGCTAGTTGTTTCTAAAGTATGTGAATTATGCAATTGGTTTTTTATCTCGCTTTTTGTCATTATCATTCTAGCTTCTGGCCTTGTATTTCACTTAAGGCTATGAGTATGAAACTACTTCCACATCATGTGAATTCTCCACATTGCTCTCATTGTGAATGCAAAAGAAATGCACATTAATGCACTTCCATACATGGGAGACTTCTGTGCACTTTCTTCTTTTTCACAACTTTTCCCTTCCATGTGTGCTCCACAGCGATGCTGTATTAGCTCTCAGGGGCTTAGTTATCACAGCTGCCATGGTGACTCAACACCCACTTTTTTGTTATTTTCCTTATATATGCACTGTAGGATTCTATCAAAATTTGAAATAAGCCAGTTGTAACCTAGCAGTTCGAAAGCAAGAAATTGCAAGTAGATAAATAGGTACCACTTCGGTGGGAAGGTAACAGCGTTCCGTGCGCCTTGGTGTTTAGTCATGCCGGCCACATGACCACAGAAATGTCTTCGGACAGCGCTGGCTCTTCGGCTTTGAAACAGAGATGAGCACCGCAACCCTAGAGTCGGATTCGACTGGCTTTCGAGCAAGGGAACCTTTACCTTTACTAATAGATCATTAAAACACTATAGTATTATAGCAATTAATTTATATTAATTAATTTAATTTATATTAACTTAATTTAAAAGCCCTCTGTGAGTATAACAGGAAAAAATGGTTGGAAAACATCACCCATGAATAGGAATGGGCACAAATAGGCTCACAAATGAAAGTTTGTGAAGAGTTTTGGCCAGTTCGTGGTTCACAAAGTGATGTTCATGAACTGAAGAGGTGCCACAAACTTTCACAAATTTTAAGGCAGCTCATGGTGGTTTGTGGCCGTTTGTGAAGACAGCAGAAATGGCTCTGAGCCATTTAACTCCCTGCTTTCTGTTCACCACTGCTTTTGGTGGGGAGCAGAAAATGGGGGTTAAATGGCTTGGAGCTTTCTGCTCCCCACCAAAAGCAGCAGAAAGCAGGGGCCACAAACCGATACCAACCAGTTCGGTTCGTGAACCAACCTCGCAGTTCCTATTGTTTCATGGTTTGGTTCATGGTTCAGCCACAAACCATGAACCAAACCAAAAAAATGTAGCTCATGCCCAACCCTACCCATGAGGGGCCGATAGCAGAAAAGTGATGCTGATGAGGGCAAGACCTTTGGAGGACAGAAAAATGCACACCACTCATTACAGATGGTGTGCTAACACACTTAGATTGCATTCTTTCCAAAAAGATCAGAGTAGAGGAGTTTTGGAAAACAGCATATTGAAGACAGGAAATTCCTGGAAACAGAATGTTTCAGCATGATGTTGTGTGGGAGCACTAAGAAAAAGCACTCCACGTTGATGCCAAGTACAATATATTTAAGTAATTTTGAAAAGTTATCAAAGCCTTACCTTGATAATATCATCATTTTCGCTTTAGTTATTGTAAAACCAGCATTCAAAATCATATCAATGATTTCCCCGAGCTTGAGGGCTGCATCAGGTTTTAATAAAGCCAAGGTTCTAAAAGATAAACAAAAATTAATCAAGAAGAAGAGAAGAGATTGGATTTATACCCCGCCCTTCACTACCCGAAGGAGTCTCAAAGCAGTTTACAATCTCCTTTCCCTTCCCCTCCCCACAACCCTGTGAGGTGGTTAGGCCTGAGAGAGCTCTTTCAAGAATTGCTCATGAGAGAACAGCTCTGAGAGACCTTATGACTGACCCAAGGTCACATCAATAGCTGCATGTGGAGGAGTGAGGAATCAAACCCAGTTCTCCCAGATTAGAGTCTGCACTCCTAACCACTACACCAAACTGGCTCCACTAAATGCCACCACTAAATTCCAAAGAGAAAGAATTGCACTGTAATGTAGACATTTTCTGAGCTGCTGGACCTGTACAAGTCCCCAGTTATGGGTACTGTACAGAGGTCAAGATGAAGAAGTCCCTTTTTCTTCACAAATGAAAACAGTCTTTTGGACTGTATTGGTTAGGCTCCAATTCCATAATGTAGTTGTCCTGTCTAGCGCGCCGTGAGCTTGCAGCTGAGGCAAACGCTTTCCAGGTGTGAGTCAACGCACAGCCACTGAAGAGAGCTTAAATCGTCTTTATTTAATTTCACATGCATTCAGTAGATCATTTACTCACAATCGAACTGATAGCTGGATAGAGCGTTACACCTTTCTGATCTAGGTCAATTCTATGGCCATGGTGAGAAAAGAGATGGGCTTCCCCTCTCTTTGCGGTAAGGGTTGATGGACAAAGAAACGGAAAAGAACAATAAAACTCCTATCTTTGCTCCTCTGAGCTCAGGAAATTACTCTTAATGAGCCAGTCAGATGGAAGCTTCTGGTACCCCTAACTGTGGACTCCAATTCCCAGGTGCAACTACTCTTAAAGGTACATTAACGCTGGCTGCCACACAAGTCTCTCATGTCACAGGGGAAGACTGTGTGAATGCAGCCAAGACACCAAATGATCACCACATGTATTTGGTACCTTACAGAACAGAACTCTTTCCTCTTCTCTAAACCTTATTTTCTTTCATGTGGGTTTAATTTGATCAGATCAAATAACCCCCCCCCTTTTAAAATTTGCTATGCAACGTGATATATTACCAGTCTCCTTATACAAGGATTTTCTCTCACTGAACCTTTCCGGAAGTGAAGCAGTATTACTGATCAAAATAGTACAGGAAGTTGAAAATAGTGCAGCAGCTCAAAGACTATGTTCTCTCACCTTTCTTTGCGACTACCCAACATGCGAGATGTATACTGATCTCCGTAGTCAACCAAATTGAGATGGCGAGAAAAGATTGTGATTTTGTTGCCAACAAACAGATCTTTAAATTGCAGATCTTCATATTTTATGCGATTCAGGAACCTACAGCGATTCTTCATGTCATACTGGAGGGCAAAGATGCTGAGTCATCTACAAGCAAATCTAAAAGTTTCGGTGCCTCTCATTATAAAACAATATACAATTATGATGAGTTATTTTCTAAGTATTATTTTTTCAAAGGTACTTTTCAGAATTTATGAATGTCATTCCCATCGGTACATACCAAAGAAAACAGATCCTCAGATTTGGGTACCCAAGGCTCGAGTCTAATGCATTAACTACCAGCCAATATTCCTCTGTTCATTCAACTGAAGGAGCAACTTCACATTCACATTCCTTTTATGTGCATACAAATATATTATCCATAGATATGAATGGGAGGGCCATGCTCAGGATCCAATCCAACGTCTTGATCCAATCTAGCATGAATAGATCACTAGTCATGCAGGTAACCTTTCCTGTCTATCCCATCTTTCTGTAGTCTGCTTTGCTTAGTCAAAACATGCTCCCAAGTGTCAGTCACCAAAATTGCCCCCACTTACCACTAGAGGAAGTGTATTCTACCAAAGGAAAACATTGGGGGGGGGGATAAAAAAGTCCTCAGACATTTTAAAGCTATACATTTTGAATGTGAAAAACCTTGCTTTAAGAAACATTTTACTAACCGTACAAGAAAAGATATTTCATAGAGGTTGTTTCAGTGCCCCCCCCCCAAGTTTTTATTGGGAAAAAGTGATAAAATGATCCTCAGCAGTCAGCACACAAACACACTGACTAAATTTCAACTGCTATCAAACAACAACAGTCTGCTGACATTGTGGGGAGTGGAAAGAAAAGCAAGAGGAACCCAATGTTCATGAGTGCTGAGTGTTCCTCATAAGTACTGAGCACGAAGCCCCTCATTTCATAGGCTATTTGGCATTCAGGATCACATTCTTTCTTTTTCTTAAATTAGTTTATTTATCAATTTTATACAAGTTATATACGTTATACCACTTCTAACATACCATATTTTTATACATTTGAGTCTAATTTTTCACCTCTTATTTATCCAATTATATAAACATGCCCATCTAACCTCGAAAACCTTATCATCCTTTCCTTGAAGTATTAAGCTCAATCTGTCAATTTCTGCCATCTGCTAATTACTTCATCTCTAGTGGGAAGTTCGTCCTGCTTCCAATATTTGGCTAATAACATTCTGGCAGATGTTAGTACATATATTATCATGTATTTAATGTTTATCCTATAGCAATCCGGGATAATATTTAATAGTGCTATTTCTGGAGACAAATCCATATTTATATTTAGTATTTCCGATATTAAATTCTGTATCATTTTCCAATAACCCTGTATCCTGCCACAACGCCACCACATGTGAAAGAAAGTTCCGACATTTGTTTTACATTTCCAACAATCTTTAGAAATAGAGGGATTGCATTTTGCTAACCTATCTGGTGACCAATACCACTGGTGAAAAACTTTATAAATATTTTCTTTATAATTAGTAGCTCTCATATACTTAACTGATTTCCATATCTCTGTTCATTTATCAGTATCAAGAGGGTGGCCTGGCCTTTATCCTTCATCCACGTTACCATTCCTGAGCTAACAACTTCATCTTGACTATCTTCTTCCAACAGAAATTTGTACACCACATGTGAAAGAAAGTTCCGACATTTGTTTTACATTTCCAACAATCTTTAGAAATAGAGGGATTGCATTTTGCTAACCTATCTGGTGACCAATACCACCGGTGAAAAACTATAAATATTTTCTTTATAATTAGTAGCTCTCATATACTTAACTGATTTCCATATCTCTGTCCATTTACCAATATCAAGAGGGTGGCCTATATCCTTCATCCACGTTACCATTCCTGAGCTAACAATTTCATCTTGTCTATCTTCTTCCAACAGAAATTTGTATAGTTTTTGCACCATTTTATCATTTGTTGATAACCAGATCTTATCTAATGATGTCTTTGATTGAAAACCTACTACTATGTCTTTAGCATATCTAGATTGAAGTTGAAGTTTTTCCCACCAGGTTAGGTTGATTTTATACAAGGATCTTAATACTTCTTCTGATTTTAGTTCATTATTATCATCCAACAGTATTTCATAACTTATTCTATCACATGCGTTAATGAGAGAAGGTTTTATAAATGCCTCCAAGGGGGATAATCATTTTGGTGTCTTAATATATCTATCTTTTATGTCGGTCCAAACCCTTAGAAGTGCTCCTCTTATCATATGGTACCTAAACTTAGAATGTATCTTATCTTTCCCATACCATGTGTAGGAATGTCAACCCATATTTAAATCATGTCCTTCTAAATTAAGAGTTCTTGTGTTATCCAAAGTTATCCAGTCTTTTATCCAACATAGGGCTGACGCTTGGTAGTAGAATTTCCAATTGGATAAATAGGTACCACTTCGGTGGGAAGGTAACAGCGTTCTGTGCGCCTTGGAGTTTAGTCATGCCGGCCACATGACCACAGAAACGTCTTTGGACAGCGGCTTTGAAACGGAGATGAGCACCGCAACCCTAGAGTCACATTCGACTAGCTTTCGAGCAAGGGAACCTTTACCTTTAACCCCAGTTTCCCTCTTTCCTTTCTATCCTGTAGGATTTTCCATTTAATTCTTGCCCGGTTAGGATACCAAATAAACTTTTTAACAATTTTATCTAATTCTGTAAAGAATTTTGTATTTCTTAATATAGGTATATTTTGGGTTAGGAAAAGGAACCTCGGTAAAATATTCATTTTTATTGTCGCTACCCTCCCTAATAATAACTGTAGAGCTTTCCAACGTTGTAGGTCTTTTCTAATTTCCTCCAGCAGTTTATTATAATTGTCTTCTATAAGAGTACTGTTCTTACTAGATAGTACAATTCCTAGATATTTAACTTTTTTCACCATCTCTATTTCTGACAGTCTTTGCATTTCTTGTATCACACTTGGTATACAGTACTTAGTTATTATTTTCGTTTTTTTCCAAATTAATTTTAAATCCGGTTATTTTTCCATATTCCTGTATCGTGTCCAATAATTTTACAATTGATACTATTGGGTCTTCCATTATAAAGACAATATCATCCGCAAAAGCGAGCAGTTTAAATTTTCCCCCTTTCACTCTTAGGCCTTGTATTTGGGTGCATTTTCTAACCTCATCGTTCAGCGACTCAAGGGCAAAAATAAATAATAATGGTGATAAGGGGCAGCCTTGTCGTGTACCCGTTTGAATCTCAATGTCCGCTGACAGTTCTCCATTAATTATCACTTTGGCATATTGCATCTTATAAATTGCTTGAACCATTGTCAAAAATTGAGTACCACAATCCCAAACCTTCAATTTTTGAAGTATGAATTCCCAAGATATATTATCAAAAGCTTTTTCGGCATCTAAAAACATTAGTGCCATTTGTTTCTCGGGATGTTGTTCATAATATTCTATGACATTCAGGATTGTCCTAGTGTTATTTTTAATTTGCCGTTTTGGCAAAAAACCAGCTTGGTCTTGATGGATTACCTGTGCTAACACCTTCTTTAATCTTGTTGCCAGTATATTTGCATATATCTTGTAGTCAGTATTCAAAAGTGAAATGGGTCTATAATTTTTAATATCTTTGTCTTCTGTTTCTGGTTTATGGATTAAAGAAATTACTGCTTGGTACCATGAGTTTGGTAGCTTTCCATTCAATCTTATGTTTTGGAGAAGTTCTTTAAATGGTTTACTAATCTGCTCTTCAAAGGTCTGATAAAGTTCTATAGGTAAACCGTCTAGTCCAGGTACTTTTTTCCTCTTCTGATTTTTAATTGCTTCTACTACTTCACACATTGAAATCCTTTCATTTAGTATGGTTCTATATTTCTCTTCAAGTTTTTTACAAGTTTTTTCCTGGAGATGTCTAGCTATTTGGTCACTTTTTGGGGGTTCTTGTTTATACAAATTTTTATAAAATCTTTCTACAATTTCTTTCATTTCCTGTATTCCATATTTTAATTCCCCATTTTCATTTCTTAAGGCAACTATTGTATGTTTTCCTCTTTCTTTTCTTAATCTATAAACTAGCCATCTAGTGGGTCTATTTGCATTTTCAAATTAATACAATTTGGTGTAGTGGTTAAGTGTGCAGACTCTAATCTGGGAGAACTGGGTTTGATTCCCCACTCCTCCACTTGCACCTGCTGATGTGACCTTGGGTCAGTCACAAGCTCTGGCACAGCTGTCCTTGAAAAAGAGCAGTTTGTGTCAGATTTCTCTCAGCCCCACCCACCTCACAGGGTGTCTGTTGTGGGGAGGGGAAGGGAAAGGAGTTTGTAAACCGCTCTGAGACTCCAAGTGAAGGGCGGGGTATAAATCCAATCTCTTCTTCTTCTTCTTGCTATTTCCTGTGTTAAAACTAGATTCATTTCATGTTGTAACCTCTTTAATTTCTCTCTCCCTCCTTTAGCTTCTATCTTTTTAAGTTTATCTTCTTTTTTTAATTGAGGATCACAAAGGATAGGCTTTCTACTGCAGTCAAGTAATAATTATGCTTTCCTGTGTGGTTTTGCCAGGTAATCTTTGAAGCAATAACTTCCAATTACTTCCCAGTTTGCTCTAATAATATTTAGTGACTCTACTGATATTAACTGCAAACCTTCTAATGTCTTCTAAATCTTCAGAGTGACAAATTGTAATGTTAAAAATACATAATCAATTCCACTGCCCTCCTGCAATTAAAATGCTTTGTACATTTCGAGTTCTTTATACGTCTGATTAAAACAAAGAGACAGGTGCACAAGGGAGTGGGTAAACAATCATAACATCAACATTCTATTTGGTAAATACAGCTTGGAGTTCCTGCGAATAATGCTGAGTGGAGGGGCTCCAGATCCTCGCTGAGCTTGATAAAGGTTTCCCCATCGGAGTTGGCGCAGGCGCCTTAATCCCCATAGGGCGCTTAACAAAATCCAAGATAGTTCCAGCTGCATGTTTGCTGAGCAATCCAGGCTCTGGAACACACATGCTTACACAGCTCCCGTGCTTAGAATGCCGACAAAGAGAGTGAGCCATTAGTCTCATCCCTTTTAAAACTTGAAGTCCTACCTTGATTGGATCATACGTATACACCATCCATGAGCCAATCAGAGTGGGAGTCATAAATGGTATCAAGACACTGAGTAATTAAATTTCTGCTTGGCAACAAACTAATAAGAATTTAAATAGACAAAAAGATAAGAGCTGGGAGGCAAAATCCACACACTCCTTATGTAAAGCACAGGATTAAATACAGGGAACTAAAGACACACATATGCAGTACAGGCTTCCTCCTTCGCAGTTGGAGCTTTGCTCCTTTAAAACGAAGGCCAAACTAGCCAACCTTAGAAACCAAGACTCACATAGGTCAGTTCCATTACAAAGCTTTCAACTACCATTTGGATAAGTGAACATCTGTGTCACTGGGAAAGGCAGCAGAAGCAGTGGTATCCAGCTGCTTTTTACAGCCTTCAGGTTCAGTGCTGGAGAGAAATTAACCATATTTTCAATGGACAGGCCAGAAAATAGCAACAATTTTTACTTTTTATCTCCCATTCACCAGAACTTTATGGTATCATCAGAAAGTACAAGAAAGGGTCTCTCGGTTATTGTCATTGCTTCCAGCTATTAAAAACTGCATAAATTCTAATGTGTATTTATAGAGAGAAGAGATGATAACTTATGTGGAACTGATAGTATTTAAAACCCAGGAATTAAACAATTTTATAATTTTTTATTTTCTGGAAAATCATGCCTATGTTATCAAGGATAACTTGTTTTTGTTGTGCAACGATCTCGACCGAGTGGGGCCTCAGTTTATACTACTGGATTCAGATTCTCACTCTGTTCTGACTGATCACCTCATCTTTCTGAGGGGTGACCAGTTTACTCTAAAAAGTCTCTTCAGGGATTGTATTTCTTGTGGGTTGAGGATGTCTGCCAGGTATGAATCCCTATCAATAAGTCAGGCACCAGTGCTTTTGAAAGGCAAACAGCACAATTCTTTATTCACAGAAACTCAGAAGGGGGGGGATATTTGCAAAGAAGATATTGTTGTTGTTTGGTATGAATACTTCACTCTGCATTAACATAGGCTGTAGTGTTAGAACTCTAAGTTTGTCACAGACTGACTTTGGTACCTTGATACCATTTGTGATTTCACTCTTCAGTAACTGACTGTGGTTAGACCTTGGACTTTCTCCGTCTGACTCCCGGAGACTGACTATTCCAGCTTTTCCACAGTCTCTTCCAGACCCCTAGTCCTTCCTTTAACCACCTCACAAGTTCCATTGGAGGGGTGTGTGTGTTACTTTGTGACTACTGAGGAGTTATTTCAGTTTCTCCTCTCCATTCACTATCCTCTCTCATTAGAGGGGACCAGTTGGGAGCATTATCCAGCCCCAGTTTTCCTCAAACTACTCCTGGCGTGCTTTTACACTCTGCTCCAGAAGCTCCCTTTTTCCCAAGAACTCACCAGCTAACACTCTTAACTATCAATAGTCAACTCTTAACTGTCACTTGTCAACTGTCAACTCACTGAGAATTCCAAGCAATCAGCCCCCACCACTCTCAGCCATGTGACTCAGCAGCTCTCTTGCTTCCCTGCTGCTGATCTAACAAACCTTTAGTCCATCACAGTTGTCAAATAACTATGCAACCATATTCTGATAACAAGAACCTTACCATCTCAACAGATCCATCTTTTGGGTAGTACAAGAGCTCATAACGTCGAAAAAGTGAAGCATTTGGATCATACCACTCTGCAATGAAAACAAATCTTTCATCTTGACTCTGAAAAGAACACAAAACAAATGTAAGAATTCAATAATAATCTCCAAAACAACAAATAACATTTTTCCTTCACACAAATGAAGGGTTTTTTTCCACCAGCAAATAAATCTTAGCATATCACACAGCAACAACTTTTTTTGATTATGTGGCACAAAATATGCTTCTTGCCAGCACAAAACTGGATATTTTCAATAAGTAGCTTTAATTACCAAAATGAGTAAATAAATACATTAAATCTAGTCTTGCACAAATCTAGTCTTCCACACTCACAATCAACATGATTCTGTCCCATGCACAGTTAGGAATGACCGCATGTCCTGTTGAACACTTGACAATGTAATGACCAATGGAACAACATACCAACCAACATTTTGGAAATAAAAGGGCACTCTTGTATAACCACATTCTCATACCAAAATAACTTCTTGCATTGCCCTGCTCTCTCTCCGAAAAATTGCAAAATATATATACAACAGAATTCACAAACTTACTTCAATATGTTCTGTAGTGAACAGGAAAAAATCTGTAATTGTATCATGCTTTTACTGACAAATCTTTGCTTTCAAAAGCTTAAGTTTGTCATTTTATATCCAATGTAATAACTGCAGTAGTAGTTTAATATACATGAACAAGCAGCAGGTTTATCACTGCCTGATTAACACTTCATCTCATCACTTTATTATTATTATTGTTGTTGTTGTTGTCAGTGTAACAGAGCCCTCATCAAGCAACATTCTAATATCTCTGTGAAAGAACAGCCCCTCTGACCAGCAGGCCGTGTTCTGTCTTGCTCTCTGGGGCGCTCTTCTCTCCCCCCCTTCGGGCCACCCACTGATACCATTTCTAAGAATTACCTATTGAGACGGCCAAGGCTTTTCTTCCCTGCATTTCTGTTCTAAGGGCTCACCTCGTGCCTGTGTCTCACACTGCCATGGGGACAGCTTACAGCATTTGTGTGCCACTGGGGATTAGCAGCTTGCCAATTTATTGACTGCCCCCTTCTCCTGGTACCCGTTTAAAATAGTGTACTGGCTTGCAGGATCCAAGTATTGGGTCCCAGAAGTTGGGCAAGGCAGTGTTGTTCAGTCCAAGATCGGGGTTCCAGAGGTCAGGCAGGGCATGGTCATTCAGCCCAAGGCCAGGCTTCCAAGAACCAGTCAAGATGCTTAGCAGTTTTATAGCCACACATCTAAGGGTCATGTTTACAGCCAGCTGCTCAGGAACAATCCTGCAACTACTCATCATTATCAGCAAGCCACTGGCATCAGGCTAGGAGGCACGCATGTGACTATGCTGTCTCGCCTGTAGCTCTGTTCATAGCTTCTGTCTGCAGTGCTCTAAGGGTGATACTGGAGGGCTGAGAATGGCCAACTGACTTTTACCTGCTGAATCGGTGCTGGAGGGTGTCAGTGGCTCTATCAGCTGTTGGCTGCAAATCCTGACAGTTAACTCAGGGCTGGCTACACACAGCTCCTCTTCTCCTGAGGAGCCCTGGCTGGCTCATGAGAAATAGCATGTTCTAATGCTAGAGGTCTAGGTGGTACAGAGAAGAGCTGTCAACATTAAAATATGTAAAATATTTATTAAAAAGAAATTGGCCACATACATACTCTCAGCACAGCAAGAGACTGAGCAATGGATTGGAAAGAAAGGTGCAAACATGCAGTTCCTCTGTTCCTTTATCGGTACATGCCTAGCTGATGTTATTCTATGGCAGGATCCTTAACTTAGAAGTTACAGTGTTTCTAAAATGTTGTCATTACCTTGGAGCCTTTGTTCAGGCCTGCAGTCTCCCACATGGCAATGGTCACCTTCAGTGGGAGCCCAGGTGAGATCTATTTGCATTTCTAAAGCCTGGGTCAGTGAGACTAGAGAGCAACTGGCTCCCCTGCCCCACACAGCCTGTGCTCTGCCAAAACAGGAGAAAACTTTTTAAAACTCAAGGTGAAGCTTTTGTATAGTCCACATGTCCAAAGTGAAAGGATTTCTCCACAATCTCAAATATGAATTAAGGAGATATTAAATTTTATTATCCCCTGAATTCATATTTGTGTGTGTGTGTGTGTGTGTATACAAAAAGACTGGAGAGTCCCTATTCTCTAAATCAGGGATCCCTAACACAGCACCTTTCCTGGCACTGAAGTGTTAGAAAGTGGGTATGACCAAGGGGGGATTTTGACCAGCAGGGCTTCTGATTAGCCACTGGAAATCCAATTGTCATGCACAAGTATCTTCACTGCACAACTAAAGGTCGTGCAATAAAGGGCAATAAAATAAAGGGCAATAAAGGGCCATAAAATACTTTAAACAATATGTTCATTTTAAAAGGGATCCTGACATTTTTAGTTGGCTCCACCACCTTTTGCAGCCATTTTGTGGCTAAGCCTACCACCCTGTGTCAGAATTCCAAAGGTACCCACAAGATCAAAAAAGTTGGGGACCCCAGAGTACCTGGATTGAGGAAAAAATGTGTGGAAAGGAAAGGAAAAGAGAGGAAGTGAAGGGTGAAAACTTCCCCTCTCCACTCCTGGGGTTCTTCAACTTCAACAGCATGACTGAACTTTTGGGCACAGCTGAGGGAATCTGCTCATACCTACTCAGTTTCTGTTTTTGCTGTTGCCAATCAGTTGATGGGATGCAGCTTTTACTACCCTTGTGTGAACAGACCTTTTTTAAAAGAAATCAGGTCTTTTCCAAGGCAATGAGGAACAAGGTGTACCAGAAGACAAATCCGAGAATCTGAAAGAAATCCTTAGTGAAGCGCTTGCACCAGTGACAGGCATTAAAGCGGAAGTATTACAAAGCAAAATGGATACGATCTACCAGACATATTCAGAATTTATTAAGAAAAAAAACCTGCCTGGTTAAATATACGTCAGATTCTCTAAGAGATCTATAAGAGATGCAATATTGAAAGCAATATCTGGGACTACACTGAAAATCAAAGACATCAGAATACTAAAAGGCATTCCATTTGAGATAAGGAAAAAGAGAAAACAATATAAGAATTTAACTACCTATCTACGAGAAAAATTCCACTACCTACCAATGGATATTACCTGAAGGCTTGATGTTCAACTACAAAGGCAAAAAAGAAAAGATTGACTCTTTTACCAAAGCGAAGCAGTTTTTGAAAAGACATCAGGAACCCAAAAAGGATACAAAGAACACAGAGGGAGAAGAAGAAGGAGAACTGTACAGTTCGCATGGCTTGGAAAGCCATGAAACATCTGCAGATGGCAACTCAGAAGTAGAATCTGAATCAGAATTGGGAGCAGCAGAACCCAAACCACCGCAATACGACAAAAGCAAGAAGAGAGGAAGGAAAGGTAGAAAATAGCTTAAACTTTGGAAGAAATGTTTATATTACATTATATAATCTTGCATTGTCAATAATTTTAATTTTTTTGCATATCGAAATAACAGAATATAAATTCTATTATTAACTTGAATAAGAGAAAAGGTTTGACTTAAGATTTAATTATTATCATATATGGTCATTGTATAGCTGTAATTTTAGTTAGCGTGTAGTCTTGTAGGATTTATGTAGAAAATAAAAAGAGAAAAAAAGGAAAAAGGAACAATTGCCTAAAAAATGGAATGCTGGACATTATGGAGTAAAGACACAAACAATTTGACAAATTACCAGTATTTTATTGCCTAGTTGAAACACACGTATATTTTTGTTTGTTTTAACAGAATGTATCAGCTTTAGAAGAAATTTTTCTGCTGGCTAAAGAACAAAGAAATCTCTAGGAAGACTATGTTGTATGGTCTTCCCTCACAGCACAGGTAACTTGGGGGTTAAGATACAACACAAAATTTTGGAAGTGTGTTAAACAAAAAATCTGGTTTATAGCTAGCAGCAGAGAGAGAGAAATAGGGAAATCATGCAATATTTTAATTCTGTAACCGTGTACGTCTAGAAAATTCTGCTTTCCAAGCTCTGAGTCACCAAATGGAACACCGAAATGAAGTGACATACTCAGAGACTAAACTGAGGTGACAAAGCTCAGACATTCTATTTGATAGCTGTAATGTAATAACTAAATAGAGGTGTGAATGTGGAAACCCACAGTTCACACACGTACTTAGGAACTACACTACAGCAATCAAATTACCTGCTGTCTCAACACCAACTGCTTACCTTCAATATGGGGATAATACCACTGATTGCCTTGTAAGGCTCTTGTATGGATTACAGATATAATGTTATGTGAAGAATTTTAATGGTTAAGAAGCAGTATAATAATTATTATAATAATAATTATCATCACGATCTGCCTTAAACTCTGTTTGATAAGCCATGTGACACTACCACCCCTAATCCTATCCCACCCCAACATGTTTGCCTGGCAAATTCTTCACTAACAGACCTGTCCGTTCAAATCTGCCTACTTTTTACACCACAGCATTCATTAAAGACAAAGACTATAATGAACATCAATGGTTTTTTGCTGATTTTTTTACAAACTTTCCCTGCACAATATCACTGTGAAACAAAGACAGACTTGATGTGAAAACAGATCTGAGTTACAGAAGCATATTGGGAAATGTGTGCACATAGCTGTGGTTGATATTTTCTCTGCTGAACAGTGGCTCCTCCTGCCCCTTCACCTGTTTTACAAACGGGTGCCTTATGGTAGGATTTCCAGGGGTTATTTCCTGCAGGAGCGCACAGGAGCGGAGCTCCCAGCAGTAAAGAGCCCAGGGGGCGGGCACATGCAACAAACCCCACCCCCTGCTCCCAGCAGCCCTCAGTCAGAGCAAGAAGCAGTCAGGTAAGTTGCAGAGCTCCCCCCGGCCCCCCGGTCCAAAACAGTCCAGTGGCACCTTTAAGACCAAGTTTTATTCAGGTACAAGCTCTCCCTCCTCTGCGAGGACAGATCTGCACGTTCCCCCCCCCAATAGCTAGCAATCTAAAACAGTCCAGTGGAGCCTGAGTGGTGGGTGTTGCCTTCTGACACACTTCTGGTGATGTCAGGGGGAGTGGCATATGC